TTACATTGTATAGAAACTTGCCAATCTGAAAGTTAACATAAAGAGTGGTCAAATGGTAACGATTCTGAAGAAGCAAAAGGACTTTGAAGGGCAGACACTTAGCCAGACCCCACAGAAGTCCTACTGATCTTGATAATTCTCACTGCTCAGAGGCTGAGATTCAAAGGATTGAAGTTCATAACCAACCAAGCAGAAAAGTCTTTAATAAAACAACCCTCCATCTCCAAAATAACCAGCAGAAACCAGGTAGAGTCATGGCTCAAATTATAGAATACCAGCTGAGTAAAACCAAATGACAGAGTTCAAGCCTCAGTACAGAAAAAAAAAAAGAAAAGAAGAAGAAGAAGAAAAATCAGCCAGAGAAAAAGGTATCTTTTACAAAGGAATAATGAAGTCTACAGCAGACTTTCATCCGCAACCATGAAAATCAGAGACAATGGAATGAAATAAGAACTTCAACTTAGAATTGGCTACTTAACTAAACTATCATTCAGAAAAGTAAGACACATGATTATAACAGAAAGCATTTACTTCCACTGCTTCATTTACTTTGTACTTTTATTGAAAGAATCTTCAAAAGGTGTACTTTGGGAAGCAGAATGCTGAATCCAGAAGGAAGGAGAAAGAGATAAGAACAAAAAAGAGAGCACACATACAGACGGGTAAGAACAGCAATAAGTCTAAACAGTGTAAATTGTATTTAAAAAATGACTTGAGGAGAAGGGAGTTAAAACCAAGATACAATGAAAAAAGAGCTATTACATATACACAAGATGGAAGGAGTATGGTATGATTAAACTAGTATCCAGATTAGATAAGAATGGAAAGAAAATAGAAATAGTAATTAATACAACACTACATTAGACCAAATATGTCTGTAAAATTGTAAAGAGTTACCCTTAAAAGAAGAAGAAAGGGGGCTGGGAGGTGGCTCAGTGGTAGAGTACTTGCCTTGCATGCATGAAGCCCTGGGTTCGATACCTCAGGCACCACATAAGCAGAAAAAGCCGGAAATGGCACTGTGGCTCAAGTGGTAGAGTGCTGGCCTTGAGTTGAAGAGCGGAGGGACAGCGCCCAGGCCCAGAGTTCAGTCCCCACGACTGATGACGACAAAGATGGAGAAGGAGGAGGAGGAGAAGGAAAGGAGGGCATTACTTTCAATCATTAGGAAGAAAAACAATGAATTAAGAAAATTACTCAATCTAATATAAAGAAACAATGGAGATAAATAGAAAAAATCAGAGTAAACAAGCACAAATAAGATGGTAAAAATCATTAAAATATGTTAATAATAAAAATAAATATAAATGAACCATTTTCCAATAAAGACTGTCATAGCTGGGCGCTGGCGGCTCACGCCTGTGATCCTAGCTACTCAGGAGGTTGAGATCTGAGGATTACGGTTCAAAGCCAGCCCGGGCAGGAAAGTTTGGGAGACTCTTATCCCCAATAAACCACCGGAAAACCTAAAGTGGTGCTGTGGCTCATGTGGTAGAGCGGTAGCCTTGAGCTGAAGAGCTGAGAGACAGCACCCAGGCCCAGAAGTCAACCTCACAATCAACAACAACGATAACAAAAAGACTGTCATATTTGCCAGGTGCTGGTGCCTCACACTTGTAATCCTAGCAACTCAAGAGATTGAGATCTAAGGATCAGGGTTCAAACTGAGCCCAGGCAGGAAAGTCCTTGAAACTCTCATCTCCAATTAACCACCAGAATACCAGAAGTGGAGCTATGGTTCAATGTAGTAGAGCACTAGCCTTGAGCAAAAAGGACAGTGCCAAGGCATTGAGTTCAAGCTCCATGACCAACAAAAAAATTAGCATAGCTGTATAAATATTAGACAAATTGGATTATAGAAAAAGAGTACTATTAGGGAAAGTGTTATTTTACTACTAGTAAAAAGAACAATCTTTCAGGAAAATACTAGACTTCTAAATTTGTATGTACATAGCCTCCATATATGGAGAGCAGAACATGTCCCAAATTCAGGGAGATATTGACAAATGCATTTTTTTGGGGTAGCACTGGGATTTAAATTCAGGGCTTTGTGCTTACTTGGCTTACTTGATTGCTTGGCTGGTGCTCTAACAGTTAAGCCACACCTCCCCAAATGCATTATCTTTATATGAAATTTATTAGACCAAATATATCTGTATTTGTCTATGTATGTTTAATGGATTAATATATCTCATTAACTAATAGCCCCAAAATATAAAAAGATAAAATACACTTAAGGCATAAATAGCATGATCAGTAAGTTTGATTTAATAGCTACAATTGGACTACCACAAGCAATCTAAAGACCACGACAACCAATATATTAGAGTATTCGTACTCCTTTGAAACAAACAAGTCTCAGTAATTCTGGATGTCAATGTCACATATTACTATCTCTGACTTTAGGGCAAAACTTAAAACCAAAATGATACTATCTTAAAACCACTAATGCTGGGAAATTCTAAAGTACCTTTAAATAGCTTCATGGATAGAAAGATACATCCATATAGATTTTTCACCCATCATAGTGAAAACCAGAGAGTATTTTAAAAATTGCAGCTATTTCCACACAGAAGTGTGAGCAGCACATCTGCCACTGGATGACGCTAGCTGTTTCGTTATGGAAAAAAATAGCTAGTTAGTGTACCAAAAGCCAAATTATAGGACGGTCAGACAGCCAAAAGCCAAATGTACTGAAAGCTGATATTTTAAAATGTGTTCCATCTCTATTTGTTCCTTTTCTGGCTAGGTCCAGGATGCACAAGTTTCTAGACTCAGACTTGAGTCATTATATCACACCCTAGTAATACTGCATCAAGAGGCCATGAAAGTGCACTTCTTTACAAAAAGATGCTGGTTCTTGCACAAAGACTGCTTGCCAGCCTTGCACAGACAACAACAATTTTGCAAGAATTGCCTGCTCAAGCTGGTGTGCTCAGCAATAGATGGGTCCAAAGAAGAACTGACATCATGATTAGTGTAGCCACGGATTATGGTTCCAAAACAACTCTGCAACCTTTGCTCATTTTGTCCTTTACAAACTTTCATCTTATTGATTTATTATTTATTGTCGGTCGTGGAGCTTGAACTCTGGACCTGGGTGCTGTCCCTCAGCTCTTCAGATCAAGGCAAGCACACCAGCACTTGAGCCACAGCTTTCTGATGGTTTATTGGAGACGAGAGTTTCACCCACTTTCCTATCCAGGCTGGCTTTGATCTGGGATCCTCAAATCTCAGCCTCCTGAGTAGCTAGGATTACAGGCGTGAGCCACCAGTGCCCAGCTACTTTCATCTTATTTTGCCTCCTTGGAGATGCCCAGGGTCCATGTGACATGCACATCATGGACAGAATTTCCTGTCCTCCTCAGTAAAATCTTTGTTTTGGAGAGCTAGTCTCTCTGCCACTGGTGCTAAGGTTGGGAAAAAAAACAAAAACAAAGAAACCCCATATAGGCCAGTTCTCCATAACAATTTTGTGATGTAGGTTCAAAGGCTGGGGCACAACTAAAACTTTGGGTTGTGAAGAAGTAGCAAGATTTCTCCACAATTTGAAGGTAGGCCATCCACTAATGTGATGTTGCTATAACTGTTTTTAGTGAACTGGCAGCCCAGAGCCTACAAATGCTACACAAAGCCCAGCCAGTCAGGAAGCAGATGCAAGATGCTTGAGTGTAAGCTTAAATAAAGTTGTGTGTTTCTTGGGTGGAGTTATTCCCTTTTTGAAAGTTTCTGAATTGAAGGAATTTTGAAGAGTAGCGGTCTGGAGGTCTCATTGGGGTACTGACTTCAAGTGTGGGGCTTACCTCGAGATGACACAGACGACAGGTTGAACTTGCCTTTTCCACATAGTGACACCCTTGTGATGCCTTCAAATCCTACTCAGTAGGCTTAAAGTGTCCTGGGGTATGATGAAGGGGGCTTTGCCAGGGCGTGTGCTGGGAAATGCTGGAGAATGGTCTCTGTTCCCTGGTTTCCTCAGAAGCAGCATCCCTGAGTTTTAGGAGGCGACCAGATGCAAACCCAGCCGAGTCTATGCAGACGAGCGAGCGCTGCTAGAGACCAACACACGAGAGTCTTGGAGGGAAATCTGGTTTCCTGGGGTATGACAGATGAGGCCCACCTAAGCTGCGGTGTGAGGTCTGGAGATCCAAGATCAGAGCAGTGTTTCTCCTTCGCGGGGGCCCTGCTTTAAGCTCCTGTCTCAAAAATCAGGTTTAGTCCCACAGACCCCCTTCACACAGCAGAGCTTCTTTCCCCCACCCCCAGACAGGAAAAGGCGGCTCAGTATGCACGACTGGGGGCGCCGCACCCGAGTTCTAGGGGTGGGGAATAAGGGAGGCAGCCAATGGTGGGGTCCAGGCTTCACTCATTCAGCCATTCATCATGTATTTAGGGTCTACCACTTGCCAGAAGCTGCTAGCAGTGTTGCCATCCACAGAGCAGTCTAGCAGTCACACAAAACACAATGCATGCAGGTCAGTGCTGCAGAGATCGAGGGGCACGCAGGGTCCCCGGCTCCGGCCGCTCCCAGCTCAGGGTCCCCTTAGCACCACTGCGGGCCCCGGGCATCCGAGCATCCCCAGCCGGCACCTGCATAGGATGCGCCAGCATAAGTCGGGTGCCAGTCAGAATGAATGCGTGATGGGCACCCGGACGCGTGCACGCGGGTGGGCACGGCCGCAGCGGGACCCGGCGGGTCTCAGCACAGTTTGGGGGTCGAGGGTCGGGGCGCGTGCGGTGGCGACGCACCACCGACCAGGCCGCGGCCCGCCCACCTACAGCCCCGCCCTCTCGTCTCCATGCCCCGCCCTCTCACCGCAGAGGCCTCTGGGAGATGTAGTCCGCGCATGCGCCCCCCGGGCTGTGAGGCTGGGTTGGGGGGGGCGGGTCGCAGCGGGCGGAAGAGGAGCCTCCCTCGCGCCTCCCTCCCACCCTGTCCTCCGGGGATGCGAGGCGCGGGGCGGGCCCGGCGCGCCCACCTCCACGGTTCCCCCCTCGGCCGGGGCTCCGGGCCCCGCCTCCTCTCCCGTGAAGCGCTGACGCTGAGGGTCGCCGCGCAGCCTCCTCCGGGAGCGGCGCCGGAAGCCGGGTCAGCCCGGGGGTCGCGAGATTGAGTCCCGGGATGGCGCGCCAGGTAAGGCGGACGCGCCGACCGGCGGGCGGCCGGGCAGAGCCGGGAGCGCCGACTCCGGGCTCTCGGCTGAGCCCGTCGGGGCCAGCCCGGTGGCCTGGCTTCCTGCCCAGACGTCCAGGTGCCCTCCACCCTCCCCGCGTCCCCTCGCCCCTCCCCGCTGCCCTCTCCACCTGGGGACGCCCGCCCGCCCGCCCGGCCTCGGCGGGAAGGGTGGGATTGGAGGCCTCGCGGGAACGGCTGAGTCCCGCACTTGTATTCTTGTAAGATCCGGGCAGCGGGGACACAAAACAAGTTTGATCTGGGTGCAGTGTGTTAATCCGAGAGCCGGAGCGGAGAGCCCCATCCGCGGCTGTGGCCTGGGCACCGCCCGGGCCGAGTTGCGGGGCCTGAGGTTGGGAGCAGGGGCCGGGGGAGGGGCAGCCAGCGGTGTGGTCGTGGCCGGCGGGAGCCTTGGCTGGACTCACACTGCTGGACCGAGGCGGCGGCTGGGTCCTGTGTGGCCAGGTAGGACAGGCACTGTGCCAGGACCCTGGCATCACAACCCCGCAGCATCAAAGGAGAAGCCAGGGAAAGGGACCGTTGCATTGGACCGAGTTCTTGCGGACAGGCAGACCCCAGACCCCGGGCTCTCAAGGGTTTCCTGTTCTGTGAGTTGTGGAGATTGGAACACTGACCTTTCAGACTTGATAGTCAGGGAAGGGTGAGTCCTCACATGCCGGTAGCTTTCGGAAGGTGAGCCGGAGTGACCTCAGGAGTGCAAGGTCACAGTCAGATTGGGGAGGGCTGGGGAATGCGAGCAGTGTTTCCTATCCAGCAACCCAGAAGTCCAGGGACATGTGAATGACAAGCCTGATTCAGGATCGGATCTGATAGTCCAAGGCACTGTGGGAATTGAGTCAAGGCTGGCCAAGGACTCTGTGAGATGGATAGGATCGATGGGCATTGAAACTGAGGTTTTGGAGGGGACAGTGACACAGTAAAGCTGTGCTTTAGGAAGCTCAGCATGGCAGCCGTTAGGAAGGAGGGAGCCCTGCATCAGCCTGGAGGCTTTTCTTCTGTTGGCAAAACGGCAGATGGTCCAGGTGGCAAACCAGTGGTGGCTCTCCTCCTGAAGATCAGTGTTTGCACACTTACTTGTTCCCTCCCCTGTGCACATACCACACACTCTCACTTCACTTTTTCTGTGCACTGGGAAGCCTCTTGTCAGACATACCTTGTTCTCATTGATACTTTTTTTCTATTCTGTCTTTTTAAATGTTAAAAAATAATTTTTATTGAAATGAAATGATTACATAAATTTCACAAATTTCACGGTATTGTGAGACTTAAAGTCATAACCACATTTTAACCTTGGCAAGGCTTCTCATTCGTATTTTATAAGAACTTTGTCACTGAGGAGTTCATCTTGAGGTCAAGATGGTGAGAGGCCTGGAAGGCATCATGTATAGAGGGCTAAAAGAGCCAGCTATATTTAGCTTGGAGATAAAGAGCTCCCTACTCCACTCCCACCCCGGAAGTCAGGAGCAGGGTGTAGAAGAGCCAGAGGTGCCAGGCTGCACTCTGCAGCCAGACAATCTGGCTACAATAATACCAGTCTTAGCACTTTGTTCCTCCCGGCACTTTTTTTTTTTTGTAGGTCATGGGGCTTGAACCCTGGGCCTGGGCACTATCCCTGAACTCTTTTGCTCAGTGCTAGAGCTCTACTACTAGAGGCATAGTTCTATTTTGCCTTTTTTTTTAGGGTGCTTAATTGAAGATGAGTCTCACGGGCTTTCCTGCCCAGACTGGCTTTAAACCACGATCCTAGGATCTCACCTCCAGAGTAGCTAGGATTACAGGCATGAGCCACACCAGTGCCCTGCCTCCTCCCAGCATTTATGCTGGGCTCCTCTTGTATATTAATTCATTTTGTCTTTACAACATCTCTTTGAGGTAGAGATGATCCCAGGGTTGGGATCAGATGCTTTTACTGGGGCCCCAATGGGTTAGATTGGCTGAAGTCCCATCACTAATAGATGTGTTCAGTGTACCTACCTCTAAGGTATGGTTCTCAGGAGAGTCACAATCAGAATCAGTGCAGACATTTGACAGTGTTCTACATAATTTCCTGTGTTAGGAACTTAGTTCCCAAGGCCGTATGTTAATGCTACTTGCGAGGTGGGAACTTGGGGAGGTGTTTGGCACTTGAGAGTTCTTATCCTCATGAATGTTTTATTTCATTCCTACGTTATTGAAGGTGTGGCCTTGTTAGCTTTGTTTCTCCCTTGTATATGATACAGGCAGAAGGTCCTCAACAGATGTGTTCCCTCCACTAGGGCTATAAGAAATACATTTTCTCCCTTTCCTTTCCTTCTTCTCCTTCTCCTTTCCTCCCCGTTCCCTTGCCTTTCCTTTCCCTTTTTTTGGTTAGTCATGGGTTTGAACTCAGGTCCTGGGCCCTGTTCCTGTTGCTCAAGGCTAGCACTTTACCACTTTGACTGACAGCTCCACTTCCAGTTTTCTAGTGGTTAATTGAAGATCGGAGTCTCATGGACTTTCCTGCTGGCTTTGAACTGTGTTCCTCAGATCACAGCTTCCTGAGTAGCTAGGATTACAGGTGTGAGCCATTGCCGCCTAGCTTCGTTTCTTTTACTGTGAAAGTAGAGCTGACAGTCTAACTGGAAATTCTCAGTGGCTAATTCTTTGCCCCCTGCTTTGTTTGTGCTTTTACATCAGACTGTCTGAGACTGGGTAACTTACAAGGGACACATTTATTTCACACAGTTTCGGAAGCTGCAAAGTCCAAGGCTGAGCTGCTTGAATTAGGGTCAAGTTAGGGTGTCATCTCTTGAAGAGGAAGGGAGCTGAGCCTGTCCTTTTTATCTGGGGACCACTCCCAAGATAACAAGTTATCCTTCAGTAGTAGCATTAATCTCCTCATGACCTCATGACTCCTTCCGTGCCGTTGCACTGGGGATTGAGTTGCCAGTTCATGAACGCACAGCTGTACTACCTAAACTGGAACCTGCCTGGGAGGTCATGCGTCGGAGGTTTGCTGGACAAGCTTGACTGCTGGTGGCATAGAGTAAAGGTGGCGGGAACCAGGAAGAGCTCTATGATCTACAGTTGGGCGCTATGTCACCTGATCAAGGCTAGGGACACCCACACCAGTTCTTGCTCTCTTGGTCCCCTTTGTTTACCTTGGCTTGTGGCACGTGTCTCTTTGGGTGGGATTTGGTACAGTGGAATTGCTATAGGTTTTCAGGTTCCTCTTGTCACTAAGAGGTACACCTGTGCAGGCAGGATCACTCAGCCCCTCTGCCATTGTCTGGTTACCCTTGGGTGTCTGATTACTCCTATGTTCCCTCAGACAAAGCAGTAAGCCAGTTGGACTATAATGGGAGCATCCAGCCTTTTGGCTCTGTGACCACCCCTCCCTAATCCCCATGTAATTGTGTACTTGGTGCTTTAGGTGGTAGTTTTTTCATCTATTTTAAAGTAACTTTGTATTACCAAAGGACATGCATGTTGATCATGCAGCATCCATGCATGTAATGAAAGCATGCAAGTGAAACAGACATATTCAGCTCATTGGTGGCATCTGTGCCTATTTGGACCCGGGAGACAGCGTCTGGAGTCTACAGCACACAGATGGGGTCTCCCGAGCCTTGATGACCTCAACCACTTCCACACTGCCAGTCCCCATGGTTCCCAGGCCTTGGCTAGAGTAGAAAATCTGAAGGGAGAGAAGCAAGAAGGCACAGCAGAGAAGCAGAGAGGATCAGAGGACAGCGCCATGGTGGGGTGATACTAAGAAGGAGACTAGAGAGTAAAGGGCCAAACGTGGCAGGGGTAACGGATCCGTGGCAGGGTCCCCAGGAGCAGGTGCACATCAGGGCTTCCCAGAGAACTTGGGCTGAGCATGTAGTCCGACTCACCTCTGTGATCCAAGATTGGGTGTCCACTAGGGAGATGACATGGGCATGGAGCAAAGTCGTGGGCTAGCTTCTCACCCTAGATATAAACCGCGCCCCCCCCCCCCCGTGGCGGGTCCCCCCCCATCATGAAGTTGAATGATCCATGTGAGATGTCTGCTGGGGAAGGCACCAGAACTCAGCATTAGGCATTAGAGTTGCTACCTGGAGCCTGTCTGTCGCAGACACTATCTGCCTGTACATGCTACAATTCAAGGAAATCTGTATGGCGGCTGTACTGTACTGTTCACACAGTATCTACCCAGAACATTCTGGTCATTTGGGGACTGGCAGGAACCCTCTGCATATTCCCTTGTGTCAGCCTAGGAGCTGCTTGGTCACCAAGCCTTTTCTAAGGGCATGGGTCTGAGGCCTGTGTGGTTAGCTCGTGGGCACGGGTGCTGAGGTTAGCCACATTTTATCTGTTTAGAAGGCCAAGAAGACATGCAAAGTTTTCCAGGGTTTCTGGGACATTCTTGAGAGGAAGAGGAATGCTGCTGGCCATTCACTAGGCTAAAAAGGGGTTTGCTGACACAGCCACGACGCGAAGGCTCTGACACCTGGAGCCTCAGACGGCTGGACAGTCACCCAACGCTAGAGGCTGTCCTAGCCAAGAGTACCAATGGAGCCTAAAGACTTGGAAATCATCAGAGTGCCAGGGGTGTTTCCTCATGGGACTGGCTGCCTGCCAGCCTATATGTGTTTCAGAGCTACCAGTAGCAGTGACAAGTGTGTGTGTGTGTGTGTGTGTGTGTGTGTGTGTGTGTGCGCCCGCGTGCATGTGTGCGTGCGTGCATGGCAGTACTGGGACTCAATCTCAGGGCATGGGTGCTTAGCTTTTTCACTCAAGGTTGATGCTCTACCACTTGAACCACACCTCTACTTCTGCCTTTTTTGCTGGTAAATTAGAGGTAAGAGATCCACAGACTTTCCTGCCTAGGCTGGCTTCGACTCAGTTCGACTCAGATCTCAGCCTCCTGAATAGGTCGGATTATAGGCGTGAGCCACCAGCTCTTGGCACAGTAATGATTTTTTTTTTAAATCACTGTCTGCCATAATGAAACAAGGTAATGTGTCATCTTTGCATTATTAGGAATGTCTTCATTTTTTCTTATAATTCTTTATCAAAATAGAATTTGTTTCTAATCTAGAAGGATTCTTCTCATAATTTGTATTCTATTTGCTTCGTTCACACAAAGTTAATTTGTGTCATAATTTTAAATTCATGCCTGTCAGATGTTGGTCATTTTCTAGGATTTCATGGCTGCTTTAAAGTTCACTGAATGATAATTTTTAAAGAAATACTGCTTTTATCTTACAAAAACAAAAAACCATGGGAGGCAGGATGTGGGGATAGAAGATAAAAGCAAAAGAATGGAGTTGAACTGTTTCCCGAAGCTCCCTTGGTTTCTCCGCTGCTTCTGAGCAGGCCTTAGGAATCGTTGAGCATACGTGGCTGCTTGCAGTTCTGAGGTGTGAGTGGTAGAGGCCAGGGAGGAGCCAGGGAGGAAGCATGGTGGGGTGGGGACAGCTGGCCTGCAGTTTAGAAGGGCTTTGTGGGAATTACCTCCTGCCACGCTTAGTGCCCTCGTGCTGCAGGTTCCTGTAAATGGTCTGGTGATGATGCATGGCTTGTCACAGTGGAAGTGACCGTAGCTGACTCGTGGGGAGGGGCAATAGAGACACGGGCCTTGGAATGGCTGGTAGGACCGGGAAACTGAAAGTGGATTCTGCCCAGCAAAGGCCTGGGGTCCACCTGGGCATCCCAACCCAGAGGGCCTGTGAAGCACTTGGCTGTAAGATGAGAGTCTGAAGATCAAGGACTAAGCTCGGACCATTGCATAGGCCAGGCCTGTGAGTTCTGGTTCACCTTCTGCCCCACTGGCCAGTGAGCCTGGTGAAAGAGAGTCAGTCTTCTAGATTCACAGGACTTTGTGAATTTTGCATTCCATCCCCTCTTCTTTTTGTGATGTTTAGAGGAACAACAGAAAAGTTTTACTTACTAAATTCCTCATCGTTACATCATCCCCGATTTAAAACAATCAGGGATTTTTTCCTTTATATAGAAGGTTTTTCTTTATATAGATTAAACATCCTTAGTCTAAAAAATCTGAGATCTAAAAGGCCTCCAAGTCTAGAACATTTTTTTTTTTTTTGGGTCCGGTCGTGGGGCCTGAACTCTGGGCCTGGGCGCTGTCCCTCAGCTCTTCAGCTCAAGGCTAGCGCTCTACCACTTGAGCCACAGCACCACTTCCGGCTTTTTTCTTTTTGCTTATGTGGTGCTGAGGAATCGAACCCAGGGCCTCATACATGCAAGGCAAGCGCTCTACCACTGGGCCACCTTCTCAGCCCAAGTCTAGAACTTTTGAGCATCATGATGCTATGTATGGAAAATGCCACACCTGAATTCATGTGATGGGTCACAGTTAAAGGCTGTTGCACTAAAAGTGCTACATGTAAATAATGTGAATATACGTGAATTTTGGGTTTAGTCCCTAATAATTCATGTATATGCACACATTCCCAAATCAGAAATCCAAAATACTTTGGTCCCAAGGATTTCGGTTAAGAAATACTCAAGCATGGTAACTAATTGGTTTTCTTAGTAAACTTTTTTTTTTTAATTGCCACAGTGCTAGGATTCCAGGTTCTTATACATTTACTGGGAAGTTTGCTTCGTAACTAAAATGAATCTGAAATGGTAAGTTTAGGATTGGTTGGCATTCTTGTCCTAGGTTTGACTTTGGCTCAACCCCGTGGTTGTGTGAATGAGACTTTGGTCAGCCATAACATGGGACCAACAAACCGGGGGCTTAAAGAAACTGAAATTGTACTCTCACAGTTCTGGAGGCCAGAAGCCCAAAACAAGATGTCAGCAGGCCACATTGCTCTGAAGGACCAAGGGCAGCAACCTTCCTGCCTCTACCAGCTTCGGGGGGCTCCAGGCTTCCCTGGGCTTGGGGTGGTATCACTCCAAGCTCTCCATCTTCACATGGCCATCTGCTGTGTGTGTGTGTGTGTGTGTGTGTGTGCGCGCGCGCATGCTTATAAGGACACTAATCATCTGGATTTATTGACCACGGTACCTTCATAAGAGTGTAGCCTTATCTACTCATATCTGCAGTGACCCTGTTTGCAAAAAAGTCACATTCACAGGTGCCAGGGGTTTGGGCTTCACCACGTCTTCCTGGTGATCCCAGGCTTGTCTCTCTAGCTGATTCCTGCTGCACCTTGTGCCAAGGTCACTGAGCTGAGGGGCAGCTGGGCTGGGCCTTGCTGGCATGGAATCAGCCCACCTCCACAGACCGTGCCCACAGGTGCCCATCAGCTTTAAGGACCTGGCCGTGCGATTCTCGGAGGAAGAGTGGCGGCTCCTACAGGAGAGAGAGAGGGAGTTCTACCGAGACGTGATGCGGGAGAACTACGAGACACTGGTCTCTGTGGGTAAGTGGCCCGGGCCTCCGGAGCCAAGGCTGGGAGAGAGCCAGGAAGGCTGGAGGCCACCACAAGGGTTCAAGTCTTCGTGGGGCTCCAGGCCAGCAGGTTGTAGGCTTCTTTCTTGTGAAGGAATAGTTTCTGGCCAAGGCTGGCCCCAGCCTTGTGTTTTTCTTGCTGTTATTTGCATGATCCAGGCAGGGTTCTGGAGATGGGTTGGTGGGGTTCAGTTCGCTGAATTGGGTGACCCAATGAGTGTGCATAGAACCCTGGGCCACCACATGACTGGGGGAGGGTGAATTCCAGAGTAACTGTCTCCTGTCTCTTCCCAGGGACAGCGGAGCTGCTTCCCCTCTCCGCTTTCCTGTCACCTACAGAGCCTGGAAGAGCCCCGGGGACAGAGAACTGCGCTGGACAGGGGCAGGGGCCTCCTGCAGGGGCTAGCCCCCATGGTAGGTCCTCTTGGCAGGCTTCGGGAGGCCTCCCACTTGCTGTCCTCAGCTCCCAGGCTGCATCCCTTCCCTTCTGCCTCTCACCCCCACGTAATCCTGACTCCGACCTGTGGGCCTGTAGCATGTCAGTTTCTCAATGTAGTCTGCAGAAGAAGCTGAGATATCTCTAGAGAGATCCTCTCCTCCGGGGTCTCCCTCTGCCACCACCCAACACCACCTCTCAGCCACCTTGCACAACCAGCCTGCCTGCTACTCCTCAGCTGGTGGACGTGGTACATGGGACCAGCCCCAGCAAGCTGGGAGTTAGGGAAGTTCCAGGAAAGGTAGATGGCTGGGCGGTGGAGACAGTCCTCTGCCCTTGAAGGAAAGGAGACCAGAGTAGGAGCTAATGGTGACAGTGAGGATGAACCCATTACTTGCCCCAGCCCAAACAGGCTGAGCCCTTGGACAGATCACCTAGCCAGGGCCCAAATCCTCTGGATAGTCCAGGATGTTGGTCATTCTTGGCTGTGCCTCCTGTGGCCCGGAGGGTTGCATGAAAGCCTCCATCTGACAGTGCGCACTGAAGTGTGTGGGCCGAGCAGATGCAGGGCGCAGGGCTCACTGTGGCCCCTCTACAGGAGGACAGCCCCAGCACAGCCTACACCTCACCGCCCTGGTGCAGCTGGTGAAGGAGATCCCAGAGTTCTTGTTCAGGGAAGTCAAGGGCACTGAAGATAGCCCTGAGAGCCGGGGAGCCAGCCTGGATGGAGAGCGAGTGAGCCCCAGGGGTAAGTCAGACACATGGGTGTCTTGTGGGCACACACAGATGCACCATAGCTGCATACCTACCTGAGCCGGAAGCCCCCGCCCCCAGGAACTGAGACTGTTGCTAGTCCCGCCCTCTTAGCTCCTGGGGCAGGGAGAAAGGAGCAGCAGGGCTTTCTCATGGTGGTGTCTGCACAGAACATTCTGTGTTCCCTCCTGTCATTGCTCTGCAGGGAAGGCGAGCAGCATGGGTGTCACTGTTATACAGAGGAGGGAATGAGGGAGGCGAAAGCTTGGTCTGGGTGGCCAGTGGGACCCTGATGCCTCTTGCCGTCGCATACTCTTCCCACCTCATGAGCTGGGTGTCCTTCCCCAGTCCCCACTCGGCCAAGATCCCATCTCCCCCTGCAGTCTGCCCTTTGACCCCCTCAGTAGACAGTGAATGAAAGAGGAAGGGGATGGAGGCTCAGCCAGACGCAGGTCTGACACACCCAGGATCCTCTAGGTTTGGGAGCTCAGCAGTGACGCCCATAGGCCACTGAGTCCAGTCCTGTAGGTGGAGCATGTCACAGAAGGACCCCGTCTGTGTCTTCCTCTCCCAGCAGCAGCTGTGGCGGCAGAGGCCTGCCCTCCTCCAGGCGTGCTCACCTGCCTTCCGGAGAGGCCCCCAGAGAGGCCCCCGAGCCGCACGGGCCTGGCCACCACACCTGCAGGCAGCTCCTCTTCAAGTGGCCCTCCAGGAGAGCCGGGGCAGGGAAGCCCCCTCCCCATCAGTGAGTCTGACTAGTAGAACAGCGGCAGCTTGCATTGTAAAACTCCAACCCTGGACTCTGGGGTCTTGCACCTGTGCACTCTTTGTTCTGGTTTCTAGTACTTGGTCTCTGGGATGAGACGATACGCTTGGCCTCTGATGTGTAGACCGAAGAGGCTAAATGCTTAGTCCCCAGGGGGCCTCCCAGCAGCCCTGACTGCTGAGGGCCTCATGTATCTGCTCAGGGAGTCCTGGGTGATTCTGACATGCAGGCCTGGAAGGGAACTGGCCTGTGTGCCCGGGGCTTTAGCCTCAGACGTTCCCATCAAAGCAGCGTGGCTGCACAGCAGGCAAGGTAGCCAGTAGGATGTATTTGGGGTTTCATTTTATCTTGAAAAATTCTTACAGAGTTTAGATTTGTCTAAATATATTTTTATTAAAAACATTTGAGCTAGGCATGGTGGCTCATACCTGTAATCCTAGCTACTAGAGAGGTGGAGAACAGAGAGGATCATGGTTCCTAGACCAACTCCAGGCAGAGAAGTTAGCAAGGCTCCCATCTCAATAAGTAGGCTTCGCTACAGTGTCACATGCCTTTAATCCTAGCTGTGTAGGAGGATCATGATCCGAAGCCAGCCTAGCTTCAGAGACCCTATCTGAAAAATAACCTATAGCTAACAGGGTTAGAGATATGGCTTAAGTGGCAGAGCACCAGCCTAGCAAGTTCAAGGCCATGGTGTTCAATCTCCAGTACCATATGGACTAAAATCGGTATTCCCAATGATCTTACCCTCCTTAGCCCGTGGCTTCACATGTCATCTTGTCCTTATGCTCAGGGTTCTGCAGACACTGTTTGAGAACTGTGAATGTAAGATTGTGGCTGAGGCCAGACATTGCTTGCTGGGCCAGAGGCAGCCAGAGAACTATCTTGGAGTCTGCAGTTAATCTGGATGCACACAGAGCGAGGCCCCCAGCCCTCCTGAGACGTCTTCTGAAGCCAGCCTCACATGGGCCCAAGTTCCCCAGACTTGGCTTCACCCGAAGATGTTGGGATACCAGAGAGGTCCATCATCATGGAGACCAGATCCTGGGTGACCAGAATCTGGAGCCCAGGCCAGGTCGTCGTCTTCTTTTTTTTTTTTTTTTTTTGCTTCTGGTCCTGGTACTTAAACTCAGGGCCTGAGCTCTGCCCCATAGCTTTTTTGCTCAAGACTGCCACTCTACCACTTGAGCCACAGCTCCACTTCCAGCTTTTTACTAATTATTTGGCGCTAAAAGTCTCATGGACTTCCTGCTCAGGCTGACTTTGAACCTTGATCCTTAGGTCTCAGCCTCCCAAATAGCTAGGACCAAATAGCTAGGATTTCAGGCATGAGCCCTTCCTTGTTTTCTATAATAGGAACTGCTGACAAACCTCAGCCTCCTGGAAAGGAAGGCCCTGGTGAGGAGCCCAGCCCGCCCACCTGTAGCCCTAGCCATAGGAAGGGCCAGAGAAGACTGGAGAGAGGGACTGCGGGGCCAGGTGAGCTGTCCAAAGGGTGCCCTGGAGCTGCGTGGGGCAGCAGTAGGGGGCAGAGTGGGGGGAGGAGGGTAGCTCATGCAAGGACATGCCACTGTCCATCTGAACCCCTCCCCCCATAGCCCAATAAGGCAAGCCTTGGAAGACCCCAGGGACTACTGAACACTCGGGCTGTCCCTTAGGACTCCCCTGACGTCCGCGGCCTTACCTCACACAGGAATCTCTCCCAGAAACAGCCCCTTGCAAGGCCTCGTCAACTGCCTCAAAGAAATCCTCGTGCCTGCGCCCCAGCGCACTGAGGCAGCTCTGAGCTTGCAGCCTTCCCTCCCTCCCCGGAGTGTTTCCAAGCACACACAGGTGGAGATGCCCGGGTGCCCGCCCTGGCCAGGTGAGTGCCTGGGAACCTGGCCTCCTCAGGCTGAGGCCCTGAAGCCCCTAGGAAGGTGGCTCTCTGTGCCCCGCTGCGTCCCTTGGGAACCTCTGTGCTCTGTGACTCTTACAAAGACTGCATTTAGATCAAGAGGGAACGCAAACTCCGATGCACCCGGCTTCCCCTGTGTTCTTTACTCTTCCCGATGTGGGACTCGGAGGAAAGCCGTGGCACTCAAGTGTCATTTCCCGTTGACACTGGGTGAAGTGTGAGAGCGGCCCCTCGGGTTTAGACAGTCGATGGGGAGGGAACACCACCTGGAGTTGCTAAAGCCTGCTGAAGCTCTGCGCCATGTTCGGGATATGCCGAAACCCACTCAGGGTTAGGGTGAGTGAGTGAGTGCCTGCCAGGTATATGGCGGTGCCAGACCCTCCTGCTGGAAGGTCACTTGTGCTCAGGACCTGGGAGCTGTGCAGGGCATTGACGCCAGCCCATCCCCCCACGCCCCAGGTGATGTCCATGCACGCTGGAGGTGCACTTTGCGCCCTGCCCCTTTGCGCCAGCTTCTAGGAAGTGTGTAGAAGGCATATTGAAACCGGGCACTGAGCAGACAGTGGCTCACACAAGCTTAGGGCCTGGGAAGGTTCCCATGTCTGGATGTCTGTACACTCCTCACTGCATGCGGTGCTCCTCATCCCTGGGCGCAACGGGTAACGTGCGCCTCTTCCCATAGTGAAGACCGAGGCGGCCTCGGCGGCGGAGGACTGTCCCCTCAAGGGTCTGCTCAACTGCCTGAGGGAGATCCCAGAAGCCCGGCACCAGCGTCCCAGCCCCTCAGCACCAGGGGAGCCATGGCCACCAGAGGACACAGGGGCCTGGAAGAGGAATTCTGGAGGTAAAGGTCATTTGCTGGGCTGAGAGGATGCACGGTCATGTTTGGTCTTCTGCTTCAAGCAGGGCCGTGAGTGACCCCTGGTGACAGAACTCTTAGCCCTGGCCTCTGGGTATGGCTCACAGGAACCAAGTGTCGGAGGTGATTGCTGTGTACATGATGGAAAGCCATGTGCCTCATCCTTGTCCAGAGTGTTTCTTAGAGTGGGTGGTGAAAGTTCTAGAAGGAAGGAAAGGATTTTAGAGAGGGAAAACACCAAGAAATAGAAAAAAATTGTAGCCCAGTTGACCTTTAGCTCTAATTGTGGTGTGGGGTTCCCCCCACATGTGTGTGGGCCGGATGGGGTCCCTAGGACCTGGATTCCCCGCGTATGTTCACACTGGGTTCACATTTCCATTCCTGTCAGCTCCCCGAGGCTCTGAGCTCAGAACACAGCCTGAAGCAGTGTGCTTGAGCAGCCTGCTGGCCGAGGGCTGCTGGCGTGCTAATTAACACCTCTTAGAAAGCTCTGGAACACCCCTAGAGGGGCTTGGGTGGAAGGAAGAGCGATTGGGGTTACAGAAATAACAGGCCTGAAGCTGATGTAGGCCCTCTGCCCTGGAGAACGGCCTCCAGGCCTGCAAATCTGGCTTCCCAGTTCCCGAGGCTGACTTCCCATAGGTCACAGACGCCTCCACACCCCTCCGCCCCGCCCTGGCCCCGGCGGCACATTCCCTGTGGTGAAGGTGGAGGACAGCTGGACCCAGAGCCCCCTGGGGCCTGCATCATGCCAGCTCAGCAGGCAAGGCTACAGTTCCTCCACCGCTGCAGACACCAGAAGGGGCCGAGTACCCCTGTGGGGCCCCACAAGTCAAGGTGAGTCCTGGGTTGTTCATCCTCCTCTTCGGTGGGAACCAGGCCTGAGGTGCCAGCATCTACAGAGAAGAAGCTCCTGCCTGGCCTTTGAGCAAAGAGCCAGGCCCTGCCGTGGCTCCTGAAGTCATCCTCGGGCCTGGCCCTTGCCTGGACAGCCTCTGGCTTGAGGACCTTCGTTTGTATTGAGGTGCTAGCAGAGGAAGCTGTCCATGACTCTTCCAGCTCTTCCTTGGGAGCTGGGGACAGCTTTCTTTAATCCTTCTGAAGAAGCAGAGAACAGGTCAAAAGTCCCCCAGGGGGATTTCCTCTTGGCGGGTCCCTGACAGCTTAGTGCAGGACTTGGCACCTCTGCAGATGGCAAGCCGTGGCCGGCCAGCCGGCCCGGGGTCGAGCTGGAGCCTGGTAGGCCAGCCGGGGTCCTGAAAGAGAGGGTAACAGGGCAGCTTTTCCTGTCCCAGCCAGCAGGGCCTCAAGCTCACCCCTGGAAGCGCTGGAGGCCTGCCTGAAGGGCATTCCCTCAGCTGGACCATCACCTCCCCAGCTGGTGGCTGCTTCTTGGTCCCGGAGCCCCCAGCCAGGAGATGCTGGGTCTCACAAGCCGGAGCTGCAGCCTCAAGGATCGCACAGTGAAGGTATAAGAACCCAGGGTCTTTGTGCTGGCAGTGGAGAGGTCGGGTCTCCTGGGGTGTATACTGTTCTTCTTCCAGTCAGCTCCCTGAGTTTGATGAAGGAAGTTGAAGGGTACCCACCCTCTACCCCTCTCTGAGATCGCTTCTCTGGAGTCCTGAGACAAATTGTGTGTGGGGGTTGGGGTTTTCCATCAGTGGCATGGAGAGCCCCAGTACTTTGGGGCTGAGTCTCTGGGCGCCATCCACTCCCGGGCCCAGCGACCCCTTCTCCAGTGGGCTCTCTGTGACACAACTCTGCTGCTCCCTGCAGAGGCCACGACGGAGCCCCTGCCACCGCTGGGCCTGCGGGGCTGTGTGAGAGAGGGCCCCAGCCAGCCCCCCGGCCCCCAGGGCACTCCCACCAGCTTCTCCTCCACCAGCAGCATTGACGGCGACCTAGACTTCGGGAGCCCTGGGTACAGCCAGGGCCAGCAGTTTGGAAAAGGTAAGCTGGGCTGACCTGAGGTTGGAGTCCCTCTGGGGAAGGATGGGAGGCCTTGTCTCTGGCAGGCTGCCATGCCCGCTGTCAGAAGTGGAGGTGGGATGCTGAGGCAGGAGCAGATGCAGACTTGTCTTGGGCTGGGTGATTTGGTTCAGATGGGAGGACAGCTGAGGTCTCTTAACATGTCCTTTTTGCACTGTCCCAGCCATAGAGAAGTGCCTGTAGTACAAAACTGACCTCCGTCAGCAATGCGCTTGGTGACTTGTGCCCCCTTGGATCCTACCAGGGGAGCTGTTCCTGGGGACTTGGGACCTTGGGGCCTTACAGGACTCTTCAGCCTCCCCTTTGATCTTTTTTCCCCACCCGAACAATCTGGTCCATCTGGTCCCACGGGTGGGTGCCTATACACCTGCCTTCATTTGTGCCCTGGCACATCCGTTGGCACTGGAAAGGCCGGGGCCACAGCCAGGACTCTGGCTGGGCCAGTGAGGCCTAGAGAGCCAGCCTCAAGGCTTCTTCCTGCCTGAGTCCTCCTGAATTGACTCATCTTTCAGTTTGGGGGGAGAGTTAGATGTATCAGAGTTTGAACTCAGAGCCTCATGCTTGCTATCCTTCATGCTCTACCCCTTGAGTCATGCCTCCAGGCCTACTTTTTGCAGGTTATTTTGCAACTTTTCTGTCCAGGCTGGCCTTGAACCGAAATCCTGCAGATCTCAACCTCCTGAGAAGCTAGGATTGTAGGCATAAGACTCTGGCTCCTGACTAATTTCTGGTTTTTAAGAAGCAATAGAATCGTATGACTGTTCAAAAACTACAAAAGATTATGTGAAGTCTCCTTGCTTCCCCTACCGGCAGCCCTGTCCTCCTGTGCCAGCCGCTGCGCGACTTCATCTCCTTGCAGAGACGCCTGCCTGTGTTCAGGCTCTGTCTCCTCACACACATCCCCACCTCACTTTTTGTTTTAAACCTTTGTCCTTGACATCTTTCTACATTTGGTCTTCATAGTCCTTGGCCGCTACACAGAGGTTGAGTCCCTGCGCTGGCAGAGTGCGGGGTCACTTCCTTTTCATGTGGCTTCTGTGGATGGGCTTGGTGTTCCCAGTGACCCAAACTGCAGGAGACTCCACACTGCCTCTAGAAGCTTCCAGGTGGGCCCCCAAGAACCTAGCAGCTCCCTGTGGCAGTCTCTGGCTTCCAGCCTCTGCCGGGCTCCCAGTTGTCAGCAGACGCCCCAGGAAGGAATGTGGCCAGTGCTGTCTGCTCCCCTGGGAAGGGCTCTGCCCTCCGGAAGTCCAGCTGAGCCAGTTCCTGTTGCTTGCACTGTGCACCCCCACTAGAAATGCAATTTATGCAGTGAGTTTGGTTTTCTTCTCTCTGGCCTTCTGTGGACGAATGTCCTCCTGAGGGTGCGGAAGCCTGCAGTGGTGTGCTCCGTGGAGGGCACGTCTGCTTGTTAGGCTGTCCTGTGTGCTAGACAAGCCATGTCACCCTCACCATGGTGGCAGCCGGATGTCCTGAGGGACTGGAACCCCCACCCTTGGTGAGGCCCTCCTCACCCTGCCCCCAGCATCCATCCCCAGGCAGTTTTCTGTAGATGGCTGGCACATGCCCTGCTTCTTCCTGTCAGCCCAAGGAGAGCCACTCTAGAGTCAGGGCTGACAGTTGTTTGAGGCCAGGTCTCCACTGCATCCTTGAGCCACCATGATGGGTCCAGTGCTCTGCCTCCTCTTGCTGCCCTGGACCTGGCAGAGTGCAAGGCTCCCGTGGTCCACACAGCCTGACCTGCAGCCTTCCATGACTACCATGCTTGATCTTCACAGGATACCTGCCAGGAAGTTCCCCGCTCCAGAGCCTAGAGAACTGTCTCAGAGAGATCCCTGTGCCCAGGCTGCAGCCTGCCTGGTCCTCTTCCTCTGCCGTGGACAGGGGACTGAGGAGGACGGAGCCCAGGAACTGGACAGCAGACAAGGAAGGTAACTCAGTGGGGCCAGAGATGCCCGTGATTTGGACTGGATGGCTCCCATTCAGCACTGTGGGCACTGCTGTGCTCCCAGCATCCCGTGGACCTATTTATATGTGAGCCAAGAAGGTGCTCCAGAAACTGCACTGGGAGGAGATTTTTATCGGGGCCAGAAAGCCAGATAGACTGTGCAGCACACATTTAGACTCACTGGCAAGTGGGTGCACCACCCAGCCCCGAGATGGGTCCCCGTGTCTTCATCCTGGCCATCTCAGTCCTGGTGTGAGACCTCAGACACTGAGCTGCACAGCTCCCAGGTTGGGAATAGAGATCCTGGAGCATTTGGACCGCAGAGCAGGCCATTCCCAGGCCTGACACTTGGCTATGGTAGAAATTCTCTGTCCATTCCTCTGTGGCCCCACAGGGTTGACAGGCCTCTTGGCATCTCATTAAAACAGGACTAAGGGCTGAGGCCTGTGAGCCAGCCCGTCTCAGGCAGGGTGGGGGAGAAGTGCCCACCAGGAGCCTCCGTCTAGCCAGCCCACAGGCCTTCACCTCCAGCTGCATGACCACCTGCCACCAGCGAAGGCCCAAAGATCCAGGGCCCCCCAGGCCAGGCCCGTGGAGGTGGCTGCAAGATGGTGAGCTGCCCCTGGTATTTACCGGCACTTCTTTTCCTCCTTTCCCTTCTCTGGGTACTTCCGTCCCTTCCCTGCCTCACATTGCTTGCAGAGAGGGTAGAAGCAGGGAACCACATAAGCCAGGGGAGGTTGAGAGTACAAAGTCAGACAGGAAGGGGCAGGAAGAACAGTGCTTTTTCTATCCATTGGCTCTCTCCAGAGGAAGCCCGCCCACTGCAGTTGTAGACAGCCCTAGCTGTATGCCTTCCCAGGTCCTTGCAGGAGGGGCAGGAGGATGGCATAGCTTATCCCGGGTTTCTAGCCCTCCTATAGGCAACAATTGGCCCTCACCAACCTGCTGCTCCCAGCATGATGCTGGGCACAGGGTGGGTCTGTGGCAAGGGGTGGGGGGTGGAAGGTAGAGGGAGCTGCTGGGGGAGTAGGAGGAGCTGCTGGGGGGTGGGGATGCATAGAGGGAGTCGCTGGGGGGGTGGAGGTCACTTCTGAGGTGTGGGGGTAAAGGGAGCTTCTGGGGTGTGGGGAGCTGCTGCCTTGCCTAGAAGATGGGGATTTGGCTAGAACTTGGCCACTAACGACCTCTCCTGAGGTCTTGAAAGTTCCTCAGCATTCTTTCCAAAGCATCCAGGGACTTGGCCAGGCTCTGACTTTTCTTCTATGTGGAAGGTGAGCCGTTACAGCCTACCAGAACCTGGGCTGAGCCAAAAGGGGACCGGCCTCTGTGCCCAGTCTCTGAGACAGAGTCCTGGCTGCCATTGGGTGATGGCTCCCTCAGGGGATGGCAGCCTTCAGGGATGGACAAGGGCTTTTGTCATTGACACAGGGACAGCCACCATGCCCTCCCCCCTGCACTGCCTGGAGAGCTCTCTGAAGGGGATCTTGCCTATGAAGCCCTTGCGCTTTACCTGCTTGGCCGGCCCTGGCCCCAGCCCCAGCCCCTGCTCTAGCTTGAGCCTCAGCAGCTCTGATGGAGAAGACCTGAGGCTGGATCCCGAGCTCTGGCAGCCACCCCTCCAGGGTAAGCCTGCTGGGAAGGGCGGGGGTGGTGGCTCTGGGAAGAGTCAGCACGCTGAGACCAGCTCATTTTTGATGCAGAGAGAGACCACCTTCCCAGCTGCAAGCGTCCTCTCTCTGTGTCCCCTGCCCCGGGAGGGTCTCCCAGAGGTGGCGGCGGCGGTGGCAGCAGCAGCAGCAGCTGTGTTGGGGGACACCCTGAGGGACCACAGCCCAAGGACTATGGCAGCCTCAGTACAGGTGAGCCTGCGGTCTTCCTGGGCAGGCAGCTGCACATCTCCAGAGGGCCGGGAATCCAGATAGTTCTCTGAACCCTACCAGTCACCGCCTGGCTCTCACCAGAAAGCATTCTCCAGTCATTGTGCTTTAGTTTCCTCTGAGCCAGAGCCTGGGTCCCTGAGCCAGGGGCTCAGAACAGGGCTTGTTAGTGTTTCTATGGGGAAATCTTGGCAAACCACCTAATATATATACCACGCCATATGCACTTATTAATATATGTGTGTATGCAGTATTGCTATGTAACATTTTTTTAAGCTTGGCAGTCAATAAAAGAAATAGCAAAAGTGGGAATTCCCAGTGCCAGAGCACTGGCCTTGCATGCCCAAGTCCTCAACACCACTGGCCAGGCTACCCCAGGCCGCCTCGTTTCTCCATCAGGCTGAGATCCAGTGTTTTTTTTGTTTTTTTCCCAACAGGAAAAACAGAAGAGGGGACAATGGAGGTCAGGTCCCTGCCACCCAGGGGAGAAGAGGGTGCAGAGAGCCCTGGCCATCCTGGCCCTCTGTGCAGTGGTGGAGAAGTAGGTAGGGGCCAGGGAAGTGGTCAAGGGAGGACGGCGGCATTCCCAGGCCTGGACCCCAGGCTGTGCCATGCTTTTCCATGCCTTCTGGGGCCTAGTGGAACGTGGTATACACAGGGCACACATGGCCCAGCAGGCTGTCCACCAGAGCAGTTAGGCTCCTTACATCTTGCATCTCATTTAATTACTGCTTAAAAATGGGAAAGTAGATATATTTTTGAAGCCACCTTAAGAATATCCTTGCGGGCTGGGAAGGTGGCTTAGTGGTAGAGTGCTTACCTAGCATGCATGAAGCCCTGGGTTTGGTTCCTCAGTACCACATAAATGGAAAAAGCTGGAAGTGGTGCTGTGGCTCAGGTGGTAGACTGAGCCTAGCCTTGAGCAAAAGAAGCCCAGGGACAGTGCCCAGGCCCTGAGTTCAAGCCCCAGGACTGGCATCAATAAAAAATAAGAATGTCCTCATGTGGGGGGGCTGTGCAGAGCAATACATGTCCTTGTCCCAGGCTTACCGTGCTCTTCCCACAGAGGCCACTGGGCATTCTAGTCCTGCCCCACGGCCAGAGGAATATCCTGTGCCCAGGGAGGAAGAAGAACCCAAGGGCCTGGAACCAGGACATGGAACACCCCACGTTGCAGGTGAGCTGGGGGCTGCCCCGCCCCGCTGTGCAGAGCCGAGCCTGGGTCCCCAGCCTGGGGAAGGACACACCCTTCAAGTTCATCGTCTGGGTCATGGCAGGAAGTCAGTGCCACTGCACGATGCTGCTTGGGTACATGTTTCGCTTTGGTGCTTGTCACAGAAATCACAGGAACTTTCCCCAAATCCCAAATTGGGGGTTTGAAGGAACTTTAGAAAATCAATGGTAGCTCATGCCTGTAATCCTAGCGACTCAGAAGAGACTGAGATCTGAGGATCAGAGTTTGACGCCAGCCTGAGCAGGAAAGTTCTTGAGGCTATCTCCAATAAACTACCAAGAAGCTAGAAATGGAGCAGTGGCTCAAGTGGTAGAGTGGTAGCCTTGATTAAAAGAAGCTCAAGGACTTCCCAGGCCCCAGGGGACACACACACACACACACACACACACACACACACACACACACACACACACACACACACACACACACACACACACACACACACACACACAAACACACACACACACACACACACACACACACACACACACACAGTGCTAGCCTTGATTAAAAGAAGCTCAAGGACTTCCCAGGCCCCAGGGGACACACACACACACACACACACACACACACACACACTCTAACTGAGGGAGTCAAACCTAGTACAGTTGAATAACCTGGCCAAGGCCATCCAGAGCACTTTGGTTTTATGTCACACCTTGTTCTGTGGTGCCACCATGGAGACAAGCAGAGGGCAAGGCTCTGGTGCTCTCAGTGTCTGGCCTCAACAGTAGGGACTGTGTGTGTGTGTGTGTGTGTGTGTGTGTGTGTGTGTGTGTGTGTGTGTGTGTGTGTGTGTGTGTGTGTTTGAGTCCCATATCTGTAGGAGCTCTGTCTGGCCTCAACAGTAGGGACTGTGTGTGTGTGTGTGTGTGTGTTTGAGTCCCATGTCTGTAGGAGCTCTGGCCTCAACAGTAGGGACTGTGTGTGTGTGTGTGTGTGTGTGTGTGTGTGTGTGTGTGTGTGTGTGTGTGTGTGTGTGTGTGTGTGTTTGAGTCCCATGTCTGTAGGAGCTCTGTCTGGCCTCAACAGTAGGGACTGTGTGTGTGTGTGTGTGTTTGAGTCCCATGTCTGTAGGAGCTCTGCCTCCCCTCAAGTGTCAGGCTTCTGTTAAGAGATCTAACCTGAGATGAGCCTTACCCCTGAGATGCTTTATTTTGTATTTTGGCTTTATTTTTTGTTTTCTTTCTGAGAGAAAGTCTTTCTGTATTAGCTTAGGCTGACCTTGAACTCCTGATGCTCTGCATCAACTTCAGATCCTCAACTAATTAGAGAAATTGTCCACACAGAGCTGGGCCACTCGGGCCACTACCTTTCCTTCCCATCTGCATCCCCAGAGGTGTTGCTAAATTAGACAAGGGCAGAACTCCTCCATGGCTCAGGGAAATGGGAACACAGATTTCTCTGCCCAGTCTGGGATCTGTGAGTTAAGACTGGCAGGGGCCAAGTCCTTCCTGGGTGGCTTGCCTAGCAGTAAGATCAATTCAGTTATCATTTTAAAGTAACTTACATGTAGCCGGGCGCCAGTGGCTCAGGCCTGTAATCCTAGCTTCTCAGGAGGTTGAGATCTGAGGATCATGGTTCAAAGTCAGCCCAGGCAGGAAAGTCAATGAACCTTTTACCTACAATAAACCACCAGAACACTGAAGTAGCATTGTGGCTCAAGTGGTAGAGCGCTCGTTTTATGCTGAAGAGCTAAGGGATAGCTCCAGGCCCAGAGTTCAAGCCCCATGACAGACCAAAAAAAAAAGGGGGGTGGGGGAGCTTACATGTCTAAATGTGGTCAGGCATGTAAGCCAATGCTCAGGAAGCTGAGACAAAAAGGTTTGAGATTTTGAGGCCAACCTGACCTGAATGAGGGAGTTAGGAGAGGTGGAGCTCTATGATTTGATTGTAGCCAAGAAGTGGTGGCCCCAAGGAAACTCGTGGCTTGTCACCTTGGTACACAGCTGGGCCTTGTACCACTGGCTGTCTGCTCCGGGCAGATACTCTGGGGGTTATTCAGTCCCAGTGCTAGAACAGGGACTCACTGCTTCTTTTCCTGGGAGGTAGGAAGCCACCATCTTGGGAAAGATAGCTGGGTCTCCATGGAAATCCCCTCTGGCTGAGGAGCCCATTGGTGTGGTGAATGTGAGAACCAGCCGGTTTTGATGTCACAAGGGCAGGCAGCAGTATTCTCAAGTTTGTGTCACTTTCTATCCCCAGTTCTGTAGAAACAGACTTGGGGTGACAGGAGACTGACCACACTAGATGAGGGGTCTCCTTAGGTTGGGGGAGAGAAGGTAGCCTAAGCACTCTTATCAGCCCTTGCTCTGGTTTCAGATCCGTCCCAAGGTGGGCTGCTGTCCAAGGACCCCCTGGAACCTCCCAGCAAGTCCCCCCCACCCACAGCTGCCCCTCACCTGCCGCCGTGTCCCTGTGGGGGGGCCCTGCAGCAGGAGCTGCGCAGCCTCGGTGCTGCTCTCGAGGCGAAGCTGGACCGGCTGGCTGCGGCCCTCGTGGGCCTGACTCAGGAAGTGGCCACCATGAGGACCCAGGTGGACCGGCTGGGGAGGCGGCCCCGGGGCCCCGGGCCCAAGCCGTGGGCCCTTCCTCGGGGACCTCGGTGGGCCAGTGGTCTGGGTCACAGACACCTGCCCTACTGGAGACAGAAGGGCCCCACCAGGCCTAAACCAAAGATCTTGCGGGCCCAGGTGGAAGGTAGCAGGTCCGCTGACCTCCAGGGCCTCTCCAGAGGGAAGGCCTACCTGGTGCCTCCACCGCCTCCAGCTGCTCCTCCCACAGAACCTTCCAGGCCCAGCGTCAGCCCAGCCCAGCAGCCCCCCTCTTCAGCACCCAGCTGCCACGCTGCGCTGCCTGGACAGCCCCTCCTTGGACACGCTGGGCGCCACCAGAGCCCTCCTCCACCCTTAGTACCTGCTGCCTTGTCTCCTCGGGTGACCCCCCCTGCAACCAGTTCGGATACAGACCCGCTGACTTCAGGGTTGTCACCGATCAGCACCCCAAACAAGCCCAAGGAGCCAAGCAGCCTTGTGGGGGGAGGCCTCCGGGAGGACCTGTGGGGTGGTGAACACCGGGACCCACGGTGGGGGGCCCGTTAGCTACTCGCTGTCAGTCAGCTTGTCTTCCTGGCGTGCCCGCCCGGGCAGCCTCTCTGTCGGGTCCCCTCTCCCGCTGGGCCCTCAGCCCTGCTCCTGGACGCACAGACCCATGGTGGTGTCTGCGCTCAAGGCCCCGTGGCGATGTTTCTAGCCACACCTCAGGGTTTCTTGGCTCAGGGTCGGCCAGATGCTCCCCTGACCTCTCCAGAGCCGTCCCGCGGTGGGCCAGTGGCATGCGCAGCATGGCCATGAGGCACCCTCCACCAGCCCCTCCTGATCGCCAGCACAGATCTCCTTTTGGAAGAACCAATGTGGTTTAAACCAGATTTACTCACACGGATTCTAGAACATGAGCTACTAAAGAAAGGCCCTTGGCTCCCATCCAGTAGTGCTCAGCGAGACCCACGCGGGGGCCATGGCTGACATGACTGTGTCACCAGTACCGCCAGAGCGCGCGCACACACACACACACACACACACACACACACACACACACACACACACACACACACACACACACACACATCCCATTGTACTTGTCTCCCGGGGCTGTGTATAAAGTGCTACCGACTTAACCAGCATGGGTGGCTTAAACTAGAAGCTCCAAATGAAGGTCCTGTGGGGGTTAGTCCTGCCTGTGGGCTCTAGGAAGGGGTCTGCCTCAGGCCTTTGTGCCCCTAGGCGCCTAGCTTCATATTCACATTTATCTCCAAAGCCCCCTTGGGACAGGGCACTGGTTTTATTGGATAGGGCCCACTGGTAAGCTCGTTCAAACCATGTGAAGACCCCTACCCCCTTCCCCCTCTGCAGGGCGAGGGCTTCGGCATATCAGCACACAGGGCACCGTTCACATGGCACTGCCCAGGCTGCTTCCGCCCTGATGAGATCCATGCCTGCTCCCAGCCCCACGTCCAGTGCCTGGTGTGCATTGCGGCGGGTCTGCCCTTTTAATGCACTTGTCCTTACCAGAGCCGGAGCTCAGCCTCTTGGGTTGATTGAATTCCCTATTTAATCAGGAATTTTCTGAACTGTGCCTATATGTTTGGTACCTGAGAAGGCCTGGCGTGCTGTGCACTGCGTGGTTTAGCCTTGCCACCAGGACCCTGAGGGGCCCAGTGCTGGTGCCAGGACCGCATAAGCAGCCCCTGTGGCTGCTTTGCCCATGCCTCCCCCAAATCAAGAGTCGTGAGACCGCTGGGCCTCCATCAGTGTGGGTGGGAAGCCCTCCCGAGGGCTGGGGACTGCAGCATGGCACACGCAAGTGTTTTCAGGACTAGGTTTCAGAGAAGGGTCCACTGGGTAGTCACGATTTGTGGGATGTGTGTGTGTCTGCACACGCACATAAGTCGGTACTGGGTTTTGAACAGACCTTGCACTCTCCTGCGATGGTTTTGCTCAAGGCTGGTGCTCTACCACTTGAGCCACACCTCTACTTAGGAATATTTCCAATCGTGTGAGCAGGATGCTGACTGAAGCAAATGACCCGGCCTGAAGCTGGGTGGTGGCAAAGAACAGAAGGGCAAACTCTCCAACCCTGGAGAGCTGAGCAGGTCCAGCTCCTTTTCCAGCTGAGCCCAGAGGGCAGTGCTTGGCTCCTTTCATGTCAGTAGGAAGACTCAGGGCATAGGCAGACATGGCCAGGAGGAGAGTTCTGTTCGCCAGGCCTGGATCCTCCACTTCTACCGTATGACAGAGCAGTTGGGCTCCAGGCTCAACAGATGGCAGGTGCATGCCCTGTGCTTGCTGGTACAAGTGAGCAAACCAGCCCAGGCTCACACAGCTTTCAGCCAGCAGGGCTAGGAAGTAGCCAGACCCCTCCTCAGGGCTGCCAGCTGGTGGTGTGCACAGACATCGCCCTACCTGTGCCTGCTTGAAATAAGGCGACAGCCAAGCCCGGCCTGGGCAAGCCGCAGCGAGCGGGACCGGGCAGTACGCTCAAGGAGAAGCTCAAGGTTGTGGAATCTGAATACATAAGTGGTAAGTTCCGTGATGGCTCGCCTCATTCTGCGCAGGCCCACAGGTACCGCAGCTGTTAGCTGCAGAGGCTGTGGAGCCACAGACTTGGTGAGGAGTCTGCAGGGTAGGGGTTGGCGCCGCAGCCAGCTCCTGTACAGGGTTGTTTTGAAGAGGAGGTGAGGCTGCTTTGATTTGGGAGCATTTTTCGTTTTTTTCTTTTAGATTTTTTTTTTTTTTTAGCATTTCCTGAAGTATTCTTTTCATGTTTTTTTCTTATTTAAAAAGCATTATAAAGGCGATGTACAGAGAGGGTTACAGTTACCTAAGTCGGGTAAAGAGCCATCCTTCCCTCACTCTCCCAGTTTTTCCTTCCCATCCCCCCATGTCATAGTTCATTTCCCACTTAGTGTCTAGTGAGGACCACTGCTGCATTTGTTCACCCTCTGTCCCTCCATTTCCGTGCCCACACTTGCCCTCCCAGAGACAGATTAGCAAGACAAATAACAAAAACCCTCCATTTCCTGGAGTTCATTTCAATAAATATTATTTTATATGATTAGAAGTACATAGGCATTGTACCTTTGTGGGGGAACTTCTTAAATGAACAAAAGGCCTGGAATTTGGGGAGCCCGGAAGGTCCTGAGTCTGCCTGCCACCATCCTGGAAACTGGCCACAGGCCTGGCCTGAGTGCCAGTCTTCCCTCCATCCCCACCTAGCTGCCCTGTGTCAGCCTGAGGCCGGGCGCGAGGCTCGCTCAAACCCTGCTTCCGAAGTGAGTGGACTTCCCAGCCCCCATGGTCCCCAGGCCACTGCTGAGCCTTCCAGTACAGGTGGGGCAGGTGCTAAATTACATCCAGGAGCTTGAATCCCTAAAGGAGCCGGGCCTGGGCCAGACTCTGCCCCCCCACCCCCTTGGTACTGGGGTTTGAACCCAGCCCCACACTTGCTGGGCAAGTGCTATACCACTTGAGCCTCACCTCCAGTCCTTAACACTTACTCTTGACCTTTTGATGTCTTTGTATTTTAGACATTGCTCCCCTAAGTATCCCATCATTCATCTGACAACCCATTGTAAAGTGACGGGATTAGGCTGGGTGTATATAATCCTAGCTACTCTGGAAGCTGAGATCTGAGGATTGTGGTTCAAAGCCAGCCCAGGCAGAAAAGTCTGTGAGATTCTTACATTCAATTAACTACTCAAAAAACTGGAAGTGGAGCTTTGGGTTAATAGGGAAGAGAGCTACCCTTGAGCAAAAATAGAGTTCAGGGACTGAACTCAGGCCCTGAGTTTAAGCCCCATGACTGACAACATCACCAAAAAAGTGACTTGTTATTGATATATCTAGGTTTGAACAAACATACCATTTTATTTTGTGCTTTATGTTGGTCTCACCTGCTCAAGGTTGTTAGGTTTGCTTTGTGGATTGGGGTTATTTTCTCTCTCTCTCTCTCTCTCTCTCTCTCTCTCTCTCTCTCTCTCTTTGTCTGCCTTAGGCATTGACAGAGTTTTGAAGTTTTTTTACTTACATATTTTCTCCCTGCCCACCTTAGCCTCAAAATTTAGAAGGATGAAAGGAAAAACTGATAGCAAAGTTCACAATCATATTTGGAAGATTTTTAGCATGTCTCAGAGTTGATAAAAACAAGACAGGAAAGGAATAGAAAACCTGAACAAGTCAGTTAACAAATGTGTCCTGCCAGAAGAAAGTGTAGAACAAGTCCCCCGTAGACTGCACGCTCTTCTCAATGTAGCTACGAACACTGACCTGACGAAGTCCTAGAGGAAATTTAAGCAAATTTACCATGGTGTTTATTCCCCTTCCCTGCCTACCTCTGCTTCGTGGTATGGAGCCCTGTACCGCTTAAGCCACCCTAACAGCTCCTTTGTATGTTGGTTGTTTTCTATGATAGTGTCTCACTCTATGCCCATGCCAGTTTGGACTATGATTCTCCTATTTGTGCTTCCTCTTGTCACTGAGGATGGCAAGAGAGCCTCACTATGCAGAGCCATTGTGCTTTGCCGGTAGCTGGGATAGCAGCCATTGGTTGAGATGAAGCCTTGAGAACTTTTTGGCCAGACTGGCCTCAAGCCACGATCCTCCAGATCTCTGCCTCCCTAATATACATTTTATCTCTAAAGGTAAAATTCAGTAACAGCACACACAACACCCAGAAATTTTTAATGTTCAAGAAATGAGAATCATTGCTAAAGTACTGTATACATGAATGAAGAAATCAAATGAGCATTAGAAATATTTTGAACTGTAAGAAAGAGCCACACATTAAAACTTGCCAGGTAAGGCTACATCAGCACTTTGGCATGAGGGAGTGCGTGAAAAGAGAAAGGCTGGGAACTCACAGGAGTTACAGGTAGAGGAGCAAGAGAAATCTATGGGTGAGCGAGACCGGCAGAAGTCAGCCCAACCGCATCAACAGCCAGAAATCTTTTCTTTACCAAAAGTAAAAATTGACTAGCCAGTGGCAAAATCCATCAAAAAAAAAAAAGCACTAGTAAGCAGTCTCAGGAATGAAAGCAGCTCCACCCATGCTGCAGGAAGTCGGAAGGCAACAAGTAACTTTGCCCCAAACTTGAAGATTTAGATATAAGACTTCCACAGGAATACAACTTCATACATTATTCACGCTTATTAACACGTAAGGTATGAAATAAAGGATTTCCTCATTATTTCCACACAGATATAATCTGCTTGGACCATATTTACCCTCCTCATGGCTGAACCCCCTCCCAGTCACCAGCTGCCTTCACTCCATTCTTTTCCTTAAAATCATTGCGTGTATCAGAGAAAACCTGTTTGTCTCCCTGAGTCTGGCTTATTTCACTCAGCCCAATGTTCTCCATGGTGTTCCATCCACTTTCCTGCAAATGACATGATTCCATTTTTATTTATGGCCTTGTAATATTCCATTGTGTGTATACATCACATCTTCTTTAGCCAGTGCCCATTGCGAGGCACCTAGGCTGATTCCATAGCTTGACTGTTGTGAATAGAACCACAATAAACATGGGTGTGCAGGTGTCTCTACGGTATGCTGGCCTGTAACTCCTCCAGGTATATACCCAAAAATGTTATAGCAGGATATTATAGGAGGTTTTGTTGGCGGTAGTTTTTGTGTTAGGTGGTGATACTAGGTTTGAATTCAGGGCCTCACATTTGTTAGGCAGGTGCTTTGCCTCTTGAACCAAGCCACCAGCCCTTTTTTACTTCAGTTATCTTCTGGATATGGCTTCAAGTTTTTGCCTTGGGCCAGCCTCAGACCACATCCTCCTACCTATACCTTAACAAGCAGCTGGGATTACTTGTGCACCACAGCACACCTATGTTGAGATAAAGTCTCACTAACTTTCTCCCTAGGCTGACCTCAAACTGTCATCCTCCCAACCTTTGCCTCTGCTGGGCTTATTATTTTAGAACTATTTTAGGAGCCTCCATACTGACTTCCATACTAGCTGCAGTACTTTATATTCTTACCCACTGCATATAAAGGT